ACATGCACCTCTCTTTCTCATTCTTAATACGCAAGTGTTAAGGTAGAAATTACATTGCGCGAGAGGTGCATGTATCAATAAGTTGAAAAAATTCGACGATGAGGTGTAGGACTCGGTAGCTCAATTGGTAGAGCAACAGCACGGAAAGCTGACGATGCCGGTTCAAGTCCTGCCCGAGTCGAAAATTTTTTCAATTTATTTTCGATTTTTAAATTATATAGTGCCTTCATGTGCAATAACATGTGAAAAATATTAATGTTTTCAAACGTTTATAACTTTGTAATTTCATCTTCAATGATTTCTTAAGCTGCAAAGCATAAGACATTGAGCCTTAATACGCAAGTGTTAAGGTAGAAATTACATTGCGCGAGAGGTGCATGTATCAATAAGTTGAAAAAATTCGACGATGAGGTGTAGGACTCGGTAGCTCAATTGGTAGAGCAACAGCACGGAAAGCTGACGATGCCGGTTCAAGTCCTGCCCGAGTCGAAAATTTTTTCAATTTATTTTCGATTTTTAAATTATATAGTGCCTTCATGTGCAATAACATGTGAAAAAATATTAATGTTTTCAAACGTTATAACTTTGTAATTTCATCTTCAATGATTTCTTAAGCTGCAAAGCATAAGACATTGAGCCTTAATACGCAAGTGTTAAGGTAGAAATTACATTGCGCGAGAGGTGCATGTATCAATAAGTTGAAAAAATTCGACGATGAGGTGTAGGACTCGGTAGCTCAATTGGTAGAGCAACAGCACGGAAAGCTGACGATGCCGGTTCAAGTCCTGCCCGAGTCGAAAATTTTTTCAATTTATTTTCGATTTTTAAATTATATAGTGCCTTCATGTGCAATAACATGTGAAAAATATTAATGTTTTCAAACGTTATAACTTTGTAATTTCATCTTCAATGATTTCTTAAGCTGCAAAGCATAAGACATTGAGCCTTAATACGCAAGTGTTAAGGTAGAAATTACATTGCGCGAGAGGTGCATGTATCAATAAGTTGAAAAAATTCGACGATGAGGTGTAGGACTCGGTAGCTCAATTGGTAGAGCAACAGCACGGAAAGCTGACGATGCCGGTTCAAGTCCTGCCCGAGTCGAAAATTTTTTCAATTTATTTTCGATTTTTAAATTAAAATAGTAACAACCTTTGATAAACAAATGAGGATTATATAACTCCAATACTATATGATCAGATCGAACTATATTATGATCGCACTTTCCGTTCTTTACTCTATATTTTATACATGTTTTATCAGATTCAACAACAGCCGTATGGAACGAGTCCCACGGCTGTCATCTTGCTGGCCAGTACCACGCGCCTGGATCTTCATGGCATCCGTACCTAGTACCGGGAGGTTATGATACCTGTGCAGTTTGTACTTGCGAGTTCTCTACGCGACAGGTCAAGTGTCCACGTGTCAAATGCCCACCACTGAGGTGCGCCGAAAAGGACGCCTATAGACCAGATAAGAAGTCTTGCTGTAGAGTTTGTCCAGTGGTGAGAATAGATTGTATTATATTACTGATTATAAGAAATTTATTGGTGAACCTTCCTCCATAGTTTATTTTTTTGAAGAAAACATATATATCTTTTTAATGTATTAATATATACTGTCAAAATCCTATGGAAGTATTATAATTGCAAAAATATGTAACTTTAGCGCAGAATGTAATGTTGAAAAATGTGTTATTTTCTTAGAGAATCTGGTCTTGCAGAAGTATTTTAACAGCTTAATACTTGTTTTTCTGAAGCTTTGTATATTAATTTATAGGTAAAAGAAAAGAAGGCGGAAGAGGAGACCTTGAAGGACCAGGGTACGCCACGCACAGCAGATGAGATTTTGGCGGAGGGTGGTTGCAAATTCCCAGATGGACCATTACCGAATGGCAAGGAAGTACACCCCTCCATACACTCGCATGGCGAGCAGAGGTGTGTCACGTGCAGATGCAAGGTAAGACGGAGCTTTATAATAATTGAAACTGTTTTATAAGATACTTATTTCAAACAAAGTCGAACAACATTTTATTCGCTATTATTTTTAATCTCACAAATATTGCTATCATTAGATGGCATATTCAATGCCACTATAAATCAATAGCTTCTCTGATTGAGAATTTATATGAAGGCCTTAAGTCACCTAGAATTAGGTAAATCAACCATGCATTACCCTCTATTACAAAAAAAAACCTTATTAGCTATTTAACTCGAAAAAACCCTAATATATATAAGTCTATATCATAACGTACTATATCATATTCTGTTTAAAAATCAGATACGGATGGACAGAAAACAAATACTTTTGTGCTAAATAATAATAATAAAACACTTTATTGCACAAACAAATAAAGTAAAACTAAAATAAATATTTACATAAAAGAGTTAGTGCATAGGTGGCCTATGGCGATTTCTTCCAGGCAACCTTTGTATAATGAAAAGGAAAACAAAATAACAATAAATGAGAAGAAGCCAACGAGAATTACAGAAGAAAATGCAATAAATTATAAAATACAATGATATCAAATACTAACACACCAAAAAATGCTACACTAAACAGTAAAAACTTAAGATTAAATTTTTATCTTACAAAGATGCACAATATTATTTTATTATAAGCTATCTATTAAATGATTATTAGTCCCATCACATTATATTTATTCTAGGTAAAAAGTTCATTTTAATTTTTTTGTCAATTTTGGGCGTACATACCATACCAAATATAAAACTACAGAGACATTCTGAATGTCAGTGATTTTAGTTTTATAGAATTATTAAAACTTATTACTTTGTTACTATAAAGGACGGCGAAGTTACGTGCATACGCAAGCGGTGCGGTCGCGCTGCGTGCGCGCGGCGGCGACGAGGCGACGCCTGCTGCGCATGCACGCGCCACCGAAGGCAGCGCGCGCCCCGCCCGCCCAGCTGAGCGCTGTCACCCAGTGCACTGTGCAAACCCTAGATCTATAGACTGTGGTCGCGCCGCGCCGCTGAGAGCGCCATAGACTGATGCGGATGGAACAATCACCTCAACTACCTAGGAAGCACTCTAGGGTCAAATTTGGAATTTGGAGCTACAGACACAAAAATGGAATTTAAAGCTAATTTTTTTTGATAACATAGAAGTGTTTTAAATGTTTAACAGTTTTATTAATTACTTTAAGAGTTACATTCAAAATAAAAAAAAATACTTCAGATTATTTAAGAAGCTATTTGAAAAGTAATATTTGTTGCAATACTGTCTTACTACTTTTTTGTTGCTACTTAACTTTTATTTATTTTTTAATTATTGTCAAATATTGTTGTTACCCCGTTCATGATGATGAAATTTTCTTTTATTATTATTATCTAGATATTTATACGCCTAACAGTTTTATGTTTCATGAACTCATATATAAATATCAAATAAATTCCTAACAATACAAAACGATACATACACTATTTCTAGAATTCGCAGGAAGTTGAGTTGAATGTGTACTGTGTTAGCTTACTCGAAGGTAGTTTTAAGACGTCGTCGACTTAGCGCGTTGACCCTTATTACCATTTCTTAGCATCCATTAAGATTTTTCATTAAACAGATTTTTACTCATTCAAGTTACGCGTTAATAGCTTAAGTTCAAAGACTGATTTATACTCGGAGTAAACGTCTGTTTTAGAGCCTTTAATTTTACATATATAGAAACTTCAATTCACTGGGGGATTATGAAGTTCCGTAAATTGTTGTGTTTATGGCATAAAGCTGATCGCGTCTATACCAGGGGTTTTCCTGCAAGAGCAAAATTAATTTATTTTGAACAAAGGGTATCCACTTTCTATGGTCACCCAGGCCAGAAGTGGACATTAAGGATTTCGTTATAACTTTTAGTTTTATTGTAAACATATTATATGTAAGTAAAAAATATATATGTAACCCGACAATCAGAAGTGTCCACTTTCTATATTCTATTACACGTCCACCTGTCCGTTTGTAGCCTGAAATGGGCATTGGCCAATAGAGGCCATTGAATTTAGAATATTTATTGCACATAAATACATTGGGGACCCTGGTTTAGACATTCATATAACTTAGTCTTCAATGAGAAAGCGTCCTAACAATACGCGACTGTAACTCATTGACTTCAAATTTTAGGCGCGTAAAACGTACTTCCCACCGGTATTTTTAATTGGTACTCTACAGACGTATTGGCGCACGCGCAATTTCAAATTATATTCAAACCAAGGATCATCTAAATTAGTTAAACTATTATTTTTATATGTCAACGTTTAAAAAAACATCCTATAGGAATGTGATTTTTACTTCAGCCTCATGATTGTACGCATATTTTCTCTTTTTTTTTTAACAATTGATAATGAAAAAAAAATGCTAAATCCGGGAGGAATCGAACTCGCAACCTAACTAAACTAAAATCTACACAAAATAACGGTTTAGTATTACATAGTGTTCTTTAAGGTAAGGTGATTCCTTTTGTCGATTTTCAGGCGTTTTGCGTCTCCAAAAGCGCGGTCGATGTAAAGATGTGCCATATTTTCTTATTGGTGTCATCACAATAAAATGTAAATCTAATTATTTATTGTGCATTTGCTTATAGTCTGTGTAAACGTAATTACCATATTTAATCGAACTGTGTTAACGTTTTTAGTTTTATCGCGAATGTTGGCCAGAGCTTGTACATAGTAATCTACTTAGATTTTATTTAATGCTAAAGATATATTAAGTAACTACGCTTAGGGTGACTAGTTTTGTTTAATTACTACGGGGTCGGCCGTAAATTGGGTCACACGATTTTTTAACAAAGACCCACCCCCCGCCGCCCTTTCCTCACCCTCTGCTCTGTGACGTCACAGTGTTGAGTATATTAATTTTCTATCTATAATCTATAAAAATATACAGACAATTCTTACTTAACATTATATCATTGAAAAGTGTGACGTCAAGAAAATACCCCCTCGTCATTTACTGTTCGTTGACGCTCATCCTCCTTTTACGAGTGACGTAGTTTACGGATACCCCCTACAGATAAGTTATAGTTAGGTAATTAAGAAAGCTAGTCGAATATGACGATGTGATGGAATTGAATGCCATTTAGGTAAGCAATAATCTGTCTTAGTTTTATTTTCTATACTTAAAGAGAATTGTTCGCTTTTACGGCACTATTTTTGTGGATTTCGATACTATCGTGAGACATTGCCAAAAAAATTGAAATTTTTGTTTAACTGTTGAGCTTCGATTATCCAAACTCAGCTATTAAGGGAGCTTATCATTTATTACAAAAACATAACAGAAAAACTAAGATAATAATCACTTGACTATTCTTCTATAACATCATAAACCTTCTTACCTACTTATAGATTTTATTCAATTTAGTTGAAATTCGGATAAGCGAACGTTCGGATAATCGAAGGTTCGGATGATCGAAGCACAACATATGTCGTGTTTGTTGTGGGTTCTAGTCCATCAAAATTGTATGTGTAGTTCACCAGATGTTGACTACTTATTTTATTTAGGTGATTTACAAACATGAGTTATTTGGTGTTAATCTTTAATTATCTAACACGTAGCGTATACCTATGGCTTGCTAATAACACAATTAATAGCCATATAGGGTGGTATAAATGCTTGTATCGCATTGTTTTAATATGCCTCTCATGTATACGAGGTGGTGAAGATGGTTATTTCAGCTTCAGTGTTACATATACATATCAGTGTATTGAATCGCATAATGTACCTAAGTCTTTAAAGCTTGACGATATTATTGTATTCTAAACCATACTGTTTTATTCATACTGTTTTACGAAATAAACTACTTGTCCAATCCAATATTTTTTCATTTTCCTTATATAAAAGTGAAGGAGGATCGGACGGAATATTCCAATTAATTACTTACGTTCGTATCCCTAGTAACCTCAAAAAAATATGAAATACTCACTTATATACGTACGAACGTTTACGACCATCAAGCCGGGTTTATTGTAAAGTTGGTTTCCGAAATTCCGGGACGAAACACCGTCCACAGATGAAAAAGCCGTGTAGTTTAACCACGTTTCGGTTTCAGTCTGTGGATTTCCGAATATCCGAAGCCAAAATAGGTGGACAGCGCGTCTTGTCTAGATGCTATACGCTGAGGTATTTCACCTTGTCTGTCCTTCTCTATCATTGAAAAAAAAAACCTTTTTTATCCACCAATAACCAATTTGACTTAACTTCCTTCCGGAAGGTAAATAAAGAGTTTTATTTCAGCATTAATAACTCTATACGACGTCAATTGTCTCATACGAGTTCTGTCCCCAATCCTTTCCATGGAAATGTGTTTATTCATAGTTTAGGGCGTGTTGAGTGTATAAAAATTACTCTCAAAGCGCTTGCTCCAATTTAAATGTAAAAATACCTTCTCTATAAAATGTAATATCGTTTCCTTTCACTGGGTTGCGTGTAATTAGCATGCAAACCCGTACTTGTGAAATGTTAGCGTCAAAAAGACCTTACATTTAATATATGACGGCTCGCATGCAAATGAAAACGTGCACTGTAACACCAACTTATTTCTCACTGTTATAAACCTACTATACTATATTACTGCTTTTTGTCAAGAACTACCTGTACCATTTTATATTTAGTAAAGAGAAGAGGGTAGTTTTTTTTATTTTACTTCTACTTTGCAACCATTATTCTAATTTAACTTTTCTGGGACAAAGGTTTTCAATTTCTTTGTTTAAGCATATATATATATATATACTTAGTTTTATACTCTTTTATGTTCTGTGACGATCAACGGACGATACGATGGATGGAATACAAACCTGAACGGGTTTGTATTCCATCTTATAATATTTATATTTTACTGTTTTTTTTTTCATGCAAATAAATAAAGTCATAACCAACTCAATTTGTCAAAATAGAGATTTCATTAAGGTTACGTTATTACGTTTGTTTTCAATTGTTCTTTGGTGTCTTCGAAATACATTTTAAATTGTATTTCTACATTTGACTAGGCGTTGGTTACTCTAAAATTAGTGCATCTTATTTTTGTTGTTGTAAATTTGAATTTAAAAAAATAACGGTTTAAAACGCGATATAAGGATATTAGCTAAACTAAGTTCAGGCCGTACTTTAATATCGCATTTTAAACCGTTAAACTGTTTTTAAACTACAGACAGTATTTGATGTAAATTCCATGTTACAACCAAGATACTTCGTGCATCGTTCATTCAATGTGTGAAATATAGTCAATATTGTTCGCTTAGATTAATAGTAGCGCGTCGAAAGGAGTGGAAAATATATTCAGCTCGCTGTGACCGATATTCTGAGCGGGCAACAGTGAAGTTTGGTTACCGAATCGGGTTAATGTTTAGATTTAGTGCTAATAGAGTGGCTGTAAATTTGCAACAATGTTCCGCTATCGGATGGCACATTTGGCAACACCGCTCCGCTTCGGGCGAGACCCGCTTGCCAGCCTCACTTTTGTTCATTCCCTATTATTGTATAGTTGACACGAGTTAACACATAAAATAGTAAATACTCTAGCCAGCAGAAGAGGCATTGATGGACGAACCGATGTAAATAAGTCCATCAACGCCTAGTTACGGCCATAGACTATACAACTTAATCAATACATGGAAATTAAAACTAAGTAGTACAATTCGGAACTTTAAAACCAATGACGAAGTTGACGAACATCTATTAACAATCGTTTTTAGACGTCAAATTATTATTTTTTTATTAAAGCCAGTCGACTGGTCTAACTAAACAACGAAAGTTGCTTTTTTCTGTGATAGTTTGTTGTTTCACATTTTTTTTATTCTATTCTACTTCTCTAATTCTAATCTCAAAACCATATTACTATTTCTGTATAAAATTTAACATAAAAAAATATTATAATGTACCTAATAGTAATAAGTAACAAATGGGTTGAACTAATTAAACGAGCGGAACGTAAAAGCTTAGCCAACTACTGGTAATTGGTGAGCATCAGATGCTTATTGGTAAGCATCAGAACTGATGTGCTGATGCTTACCAATAAGCATCAGCACATCAGTTCGAGGCTCGCCTGTGTCATTAATTACTGTAATCTAAAATAGATTTTTCATCGATTAAATAAATTGTCTGTCTTACTTGTTGTTGTACATTCAACGAGCAGGAATCAATACTGTGCGATTTAATATTATCTGTTTGTTTTAAATCTTTATTGTAAAGAAAATACACTTAAGCAATAATTTCAACGAAATTTTAAAATATCTTCTCTTACTCCTTCTCTTCTTCTTTAATTTTCATTATTCAAATTTTACTCTTCGTACAACCTCTTGCTGTGTCAGCCATTGCTTTAGCAACTCTGTCTGCTATTGCTGGTGTCGAGTTGACCCCCATGATACCAACGCGCAATGCTTTTCCCACTGTTGGGCCCAGCCCACCGAAGATAACTATTCCGTGTCTGTAAAGGGATTTTTGTGATAAATGATATTAAAAAAACAAAAGGATAGCATCGACATTTTCAGATGTTCAACTATTAATCAAGGAACATAAAAACATCATGTAAAATGTTGATTATTATGAACGCTGCATTTTACATGTAAGTAGTTACACACTGTCTGTAGTTTACGCGAGTGGTAGGGTACATATTTAAATAAAACACTATAACGATTTAAGTTCAGTCTTCCCGTGACCACGGCTGCTGCAAAACATCCGAAACACCGGGATGTAGTTAAAAACTCCTTGTAAACAATTTTAACTTATATATGTCGCGTTTTAAACGGTTAAAGTGTTTCATGTAATATATTTACAGCCGTTATTTAGACAATGTTCTGTACAAGACTGGATTCGATTTTCTTCTCAAATTCTTTAATATATTTTCTCGAAAAATAATTCGAAAGAATATAGAAACATTTCGGTCGGGCAGGGCATATAAATCGTGGTCTTGGATTGAATACGGAATCGAACTTAACTTTTTATATCTATAACGTAAGGCATGCTCTTTCTTACTGGCATGAAAGACCCTCGTTGTCAAACAAAAAAATACTTACTTCTGTCTGATATATTTCAAGAAATCCTGTTCGCTGCACCCACTTGGAACCTTTACTGTGGTCACTGTGGTGAGTCTGTCCTCTGGCTTAGGTATGAGGAACTCGAAGCCCAATTCTTTGAGGAATTTGTGGAATAGTGCAGTGGTGGATGCATGTCGATCCCAAGCTCTTTGTAGAGTTTCTTTTGACAGTTCGATCAGACAACATCTTAGTGCCCAAATTAGCGGAGGGCTCAAAGTGTGGTGATATCTGGAGGTAAAAGTTGTTTAAGTATGTGTACTTTAATAGCGCTGTAGTTTGTAGACTTTACACTTAAGAAAAGAACATAAGAATATAATATATACATTTTCAATAGTTTATTAACTACTCGTATGTCTAAATAAAATACTTAAAACGGTTTAAAACGCGAAATATATTAGTTAACTCATTTACAATTTATTTTAACAATAGCTCTGTAAGGACACAAACTAGATAACACAGATGGTGGGTTATCTAGTTTGTGAGGGTAGCAGGTTTTGCTTTGACAACACCCTTCATCGTCGGTCCAGTTACCACGGCTGCTACAAAGCACTCGAAACGGCAGGTCGTAGTTAAAATTAAATTGGAAATAAGTTAACTAATATTTTGCGCGCTTTTCTTCTTTCTTTACGTCTTTTATTTAAATATTTTAATCGTTATTGCTCTTTTAGTAGAGCAAAGGAACGTGTCGTTGTCTATGGTGGTAGATCCGGACCTTGCACAATGTAATCTTCAATAGATATTTAGTTACGGTAAAAAGTATTATTTAAAACTTACTCTTTCCGTTTCTCAAAGCAATTCCACTGCCTCGCGAGTAGTTTAATATCGAAGTAAAATGGCGGCTCGTGAGTGCGATTGTTTATCTTCTGTCTAAGAAATATTGATTAGTTGTAATTAGACGTAGAGATAGCACTTCTAAGAGAACTAGAATACTTTATGTATGTTAGGATGGTAAAATATAATATATATTTCAATAAAAAATCAAGAGAAAGTGCTTCTAAATAAATAAATCGAAGATAGATTTCGTTTGATATTAGCGACAATAAGTAAATAATTTATATAAGGGAAAACATTAGCTTCGCACGTGAATAAAAAAAAATATAATTTTCGCTTAGAGTATGATACGATTAAATCATTTAGGACTAATTTATCTGTGTTCTAATGACTCTGTAGCTAAGTGGTTGAACGCCTTGTTCGTTGCCTTGCGTTACGCGCGGTCCGGGGTTCGAATCCCGGGAAAACAATAGATTGTTTCGATCGCGCAGGACACTGAAATCTAATCAACTTCTTGCTTATAACCGATCACTGAAACGGACACAGAAATATTTTCGGGATTTCACTACTACACTACTCTCATTTCTCATCGCAAAATAATGTTTAAGATTATAAAAAGAGCGGGAAAACAGTGGGATAGCTTCATCCCTGTTAATTGAATATTGTTAATATATAATATATAGTTATATATAGTTAATAGTATAATAGTTTTAAATTTATTTACTGGGCAAGTTCGCTAAATGCAACTGGAGCGATGCCGGCCGGACCACTAAATGCCTTCTGCGTTGACGTGTAGACTGCGTCTATTTCCCATTCGTCCATAAAAAATGGCTCTGCACCGAGTGATACTACAGTATCAACTAGTAGTAGCGTACCGTATCTGAAAATAGGTTAAATGCAGGAGAAGTTTGAGTATATCGTAGATTATATAAAAATATACGCTCAATTGGTCCGACTAAAGCACAGCTGTAATCGAATTGAATTCCAGACATATAGTGGTACACTTTTAAATAAAACACTTAACGGTTTAAAAAGGAAAATTTATTAGTAAATTATTATTTAAATACTGCCTATAGTTTACGCGATTAGTATACATTTAAATAAAACACTTTAACGGTTTAAAACGCGATACATTAGTTAAACTTATTTAAAAATGATTTTTGACTTCGGCCCGAAGTTAAAGTGTTTTATTTATTTTATCTTTCCTCCTTGACCACGCAGTGCTAAACATCCAAACGTTTGACCCGTCGTTAAAATAAATAAATAACATAAAGTTAACAAACATATATCTCGTTTAAACCATTAAAAGTATATTATTTAAAAGTGTACTACTTGCGTAAATTTCAGATAATATTTTCGGAGATTAATTCTTTCAGCTGGACGGGGTACGAAAGTCTGATCACGAAACACAGAAATGTTCTTGTCTCGTATCCCATATGGCATAATAAAACATGTTTTTATTTCTTTATCTACATTATTACATTAATTAATCTTCGAAATTGTAATTCAATCTAATATATTTTTTAAATATTTCGTGATACATATACGTTTAGATGTCCTATTGCATATATTATACATATTTATGAGTTATATTTTAATTTGTAAAATCCTTAAGTGTCGTCAAACGAAACTAAAAGCACGCAGTTTACGCGTTAAAATAAAATTCGTTACTGCACCTGAAAACTTTAAATTCCTAAGAGCGAACGCGACGTCGGGAATTTTTCATGCGTTTCTCATAATTTATGTCAAAGCGAACTCATTAAATAATGAAAACGGGCGCGGCGTCTACGCCGCATAAAATATAATATCAACGCACTTGGAAGATTCAAAGCAAGTAGGTATTTATTTTGAAATTCCACCGCTCCTGTTATATCCGCATGCTAATTGCTGGTTTCTTGAGAACTCATAATTAAAGGAGTTTTAACTCGGAAAGAGTTTAAGAACGTGGTACAGAACAAAAAATCGAGCTAAGAAAGGGACGGGAGATGTAATTAAATTGTACGGGACCCGTGTCTCGTTTAAGCTTTGAAAATCTAATAGTTTTTCCGCTCAACTTTACTTTCTGTGCTGTTGTTCTTTGATACCACTTCGACATACTCAGGTAGTCTTTTAATTAAAGACGGTTTCAACTTTTCAAATTAAGTCGTTTGTTCGTACTGGATTTTAGATATACTTATATCTTGATACAGTATAACTTTCATAAATTAGCCAAACTTAATATTAAAAGTACTAAAGCGAACAATTTATATCTGGTGGACTGTATATTAAATTGAATGGATCTTTGAACAATAAGTGTATAATGGTGGAACACAATTTATAGGATTTTTATACATTTTCGAGAATACGAACGTCTCTGATTAGTCGATTGGACGATGCTACTTTTGTCGGACATGCGCTTGCGCCGTAATATATCTTGTTACTTAAGAAAGTTATTTCATAAACGATTGAAAAATCTATAAATAATTGTCTGTAGTTTATGGAAGTGATACATATTCATCCGTCTCTGAACATGACTGCTACAAAGCATCCAAATCGTCGGATCGTTAAAATAAAGTAAAAATAAGTTTAACTCGCGTTAAACTTATTTTTCGCGTTTAAAGCCGATAAAAGTATTTTAGTATTTATTTCTGATAAAATTGTCTGATTATTTACAAAAAATTTAAACACTATTTATATTGGTTAAAAAACTAGTGAAATAAATACACAGCGCTCATCTTCTTGTAGATTAGATATAAACTCCAACACAAAACTGCTTTTAAAAATATAAATTACTAGTTTGAAATGTTTAGTTAAATACAAACAATCTTGCAAACTGATTCAGGCGCAAAGTGTGTATACGTTAGTTTAGTTTAGTTAGTATTCGGAACTCACTTGTGACAGATGTGCCCGAGACCTTCCAATTTTTGGACGGTACCCGTAGATGAATCCCCATGGGTGATGAAAAGGGCTGTCGGTCTTAATCTCTTCAGTTCAGCTTCAATTTGCTCGAAACTGAACGTGGCAGTTATAGGCACCTCTGTTTTATATGTGGGTATACCTAAAATATATGAATTATTCATTTAATTAAACCTTATAATAATATAAGGGAAAATTTGAAATATAGTTACAGCAGTCTATAGTTCTAGAAGCTAGTAAACTGGCGTTAAAATTAAGAGAAATTGGTTTTTTATCCCAGGAGTATGTAGTTTTCAGAAAGAGAGGAGATGAACCATCAAGTTAGGCCTGTGAGAGGCGATGGAACTTTTTTAATAATACATTTCCTTAGTTCGTCTGTCTTATTAGTCCTTCAAATGTCGTTTATAGACCTAGGAGACAAACACTGGAGGAAAGGTGAGATACCCCAACATAACGTTGCGGTGGTTCTTAATTGGACGGGATTTTGATGTTGCTGTTTGCTACCTATCTGTTTCATATCCAAATTCTCCAGGCGAAGTCTAAATAAACTACTTGTACCGGTTTGAAACGCGAAATATGTTAGTGAAATGTACCATTAGAAATGGTATACATAAGTCTATAGTTAAAATAATATACAGATAATTTTACTAGTAAATTTCAGGTTTAAAACCGTTTAAATTTCGTATTTAAATGTGTCTCACCGTGTTTATATGCGATAGTTTCAGCTCGTAGATCCCAAATGCCTCTCTTGGCGATCAAGAGCGTGTCTTTGGGACCAAGGAGGTTGGTGATGATACACTCCATCCCACTGTGTCCTGATCCACTCACAGCGAGGATTAACTCCGTTTTCGTTTGAAACGCATATTTCAAGCCGATTCGTATATCGGACATAATCTGAAAAGGTAAAGAAGTTTTTGAAGAAGAGGAATGGTCTAAAATTATTTTGGATAGTTGTGAGAAATATTAAATCTATTTAGTTAAAACTTGTTAATATTTTTGTTTATCTTTATTTATGTATTGTACAACATTTCAGTTAACATTTTTTCCCATCCCACTTTGATTACCCAAATTTTATAATTGCGAGGACGTCGCAGACGCCACCACTATTAGCAAGTTAGGATCAAACTTGGTATGTATATAGTATTATATTTAATAGACTTTATATAATTATTGACAGTCCGAAAAATATTTTTATTAAAAGAAAATATTTTTATGTAAATAATAAAGGCTGTCGATTAAGCCTCGGTTAAGCGAGTGGTAAATATCTGTCGGGTCTCAGTTTAAATAAATTTCGCATTTTAATAATTACTTGTCCAAATGTAGTCCGGGTCACTAGTATACGAAAAACTACTTACATCAAAGTACTCATCGCATATCGGAGACAAAATTGGTCCAGTTAATGCTTGCCGCACAGACGGCAGCAAATTGCACGGTCCAGGTCCGCATAGCAGCAGTTCTTTGACGTGACGTTCTTCAATGTTAGGAGGTGGAATCATATTTGATGGGTTTGGCGTGCTGAAAAGGTATTAGCTTATTAATCTATAATTAAAAAAATAAATATTGTCTGTGGTTTTGACGAGGAGTACACATTAATATAAAACCACTTTTACGGTTTCAGTGAAATACTTTGAAGTCCTTAGCTTGAGTCTACGACTTACTCGTCAACATATTTAAACGTAATTTAATTATTAAAATACTTAAACCATATTAAAAATTAAAATTGTTTTAAATAATTTATTCTCTTATAACAAAATGTATTCTTAGTAATACGTTATATACTACGTTGTTAGTTAAAATTCTCGACAAAACATTTTTAATAAGAAAGTTAACTTTCTAGATACTAGATGGCGCTAGCGTAGCAGATTTTACTTTGACATTTCACTAATGTTTTCTGCTACCCTCCATCTTCAGTCCCCTCGTGATGGGTATTACCGAGTACCCGAAACGTCGTGCCGTAGTTAATATTTAAAAAAATAAGTTAGCCAATATATTCCGAATTTAAAACCGTTTAATGTTAAACTTAGAGCTAATTTAATTTTAAATAAGTCGTCAATCACGTTATTAAGGAAATCGTTAAGGATAAACAATATGGTATCTAAGTATCAGAGTTCAAAACATAGAGATAAGACATGTTATGAGATAGGGACACGGGGAGACAACAAATGCAATGTTCACAAATTGATTCCAATACAAGCGCGACTGTACCCGCCCCTAGGGACTGACGCGATACAAAATAGATCGCTGTGTCGTTTCAGATTTTGACGTGATAGCGATACGGTTAAAAGATACATTTTGGCGCACTATTTTTCGCTACGCGGACGTAACAAGAATTTAAATAAAACACTTTAACGGTTTAAAACGCGATATATATACTTAAACTTATTTGGAAAATATTTTAACTACGGGTAGATGTTTCGGGTGCTTTTCAACAGCCGTGGTCACGGGGAGACTAAAGATGGAGAATGTCAAAGTAAAAACTGCTCCGCTAACGCCATATGTTCCATCGAAGTTGGTATTTGGCGAACAACATTTAAAACATAAATCGTGGTTTAGATTATAAAAAAATGTGACCCCGATGGCACTTGAACCCGCCCCGTTCCGTGCAAATAACCTAAATGTACATCTGAAATTTACTTTTCTCACACAATATCGCCTATTTTAAAGTGACTCTCCAGAATTGGAACCCAGAAATTGTGCCCACAAGAATTGTGCCCAATTGTGTGTGTCCAGAAGTTGTGTAAAGGCCTAAGTAGAATATAATCGTACAAGGACTATCTATATATTGTACAAATAACCCTTGTAATGTTTAATACATATTTATATCATGTAATGTATATTTTGAAATACATAAAAATATAAATTCCTTAAAGGCCCTTCATAAGTATTTTAAAAGAGTTCATTATATATATTGTAGTAATGTAACAAATACACATTTTTTTTAAACATTTGGGTCATATCAGAATAGACAAGTGCAGATTCGACACAGATTCAATAATTGTTAAAGGTATTTTTAGAACAACACTCCTATTAAAATGAAGCTAAATGAAGAGTTCAAGTTATTGGAAAAACCGTGTATGTTAGCTTAATTTAGATCTCTAGTGTCAATTTAATCTAACAAAAAAAAAAAAATATATGAACGATAGGAAATTTGTACTTTTGTTGAGTTTCAAAGATATCTTCGTTTGACCTACTTTATTACAACTCGTGTACTTAATATATGCGTGCTTAAAATAAAAAAATACACTTCGCGTGTTTATCGCCAAATTAGCTTGGTGTGATAGACACTTTTTAAATAAAATACTTAACAGTTTAAAACAAAAAATATGAGACTTCCCGTGACCATGGCTGCGGCCAAATACCCAGAACGTCGGGCCGTAGTTAAAACAATTTTTAACTAATACATTTCGCGTTTTAAACCGCGAAAAGTGTTTCATTTCAATGCGTACTACTCGCTTAGACAATACAATCTTCTTTACATAAGTGTACTGTATTAATTAACAGAATAATCTAAACTTTTATACATTTTGAATCGTTATATAATAGATAGTTATAAACGGTATAATAATACAACAATTTTACATACGTCAAATATAATATCCAAGTCTAGTGATTTTTCCGTTAAATTTGTAACAAACACTGTTCACTCCTTCGCTAATAGTATCAAACTGTTTTGAAATAACCGTTGGTACATTAATTGTGTGTACATTTCTCCAGTTTATCATAGCTTTGATAACCTAAGCATCTCTGGTCTTGATGTTTATAGTAGTTTTATGGTGTGATGTGTCTACCCTATAAGATAAAGTGAAATCCCGTTTCCCCTCGTGGGGCATGGGGCGAACACATTTATATGTCTGTTTCACTGATCCGTGCTTTTTAACAGACAAGTAGTTGTTCAGACTTCTGTGTCCTACTCGACCGGAACAATTTTTTTTGTTCCCCTGGGATTCGAGCCCTCTTGCGCATAACGATTGCGTTAAGCAATACGTTTAACCATTTGGCTACAGAGGCGGCACCCTATAAGGTAAATAAATCTTAATTAATTAATTGTCTTAAGCTAAATTAATGTTACATTTTTGCAGGTATTTCATTAATTTTCATAAAGTGCTGCAATTTAATAAAATTAAAAGTATAATTAACTCGACTTATGGCGCAACATTTTTGTGTCAGTTACTGGAGGGCTAGGATTCGAATCTCGGGGAAATCGAAGTAATAGTTACGGTAGGGCAGAGCACAGAAAAAGTAAATTGTATATAGCAATGTTATGTAAATTGACAGAATAATATTTAAAAGTATCAAATGGTTGTATGTGCGCTGTCTAACAGACGAACAATAGGGTTGCTTAAGTCAGTGTTGGAGCATCAACCATCATCATAAGCTGACGAAAAACCCTTTTGGCAATACTTTTATTGAAATATTTATTTTTGAATTACTTGTAACTACATTTATGTCTTTCCAACATTTAACTAAATCATTGCCGAATAAAGAGAAATAAGAATTAATACAACCATAACTTCTAGATACAATTAGGTTGTTTTAATACCAATTTATAGTTAGTACAAGTTCGTTGGCAGCAATCTTTTTCCATTCGAGAGTACCTAGTCCTGGCAAATTAAGATATTTCGTATTTCCCAGGGAAAATATAGTTTTGAAATTCGAGTGGACTCACGAAGCCGCGCTAAGTGCATTAGTCGATTTAAGACGCATGGTACTGTGACCATTATTTTTACAGTTCGTTTAGTCGAGGACGTGGTCTGTTATATGGCAGAACAATATACGATATTCTTAGACCAATTTTTATCAACAATTACACCATTAATATCTTACATATATAATAATGTTTTATCTATACTCATTTACAAAGTTTGACAGTTCTTTCGTTTGTTTAATTTTGGTTAGAATTTTTGGAATCGGGGAAGGCTGTAATATAAGCATTGCGCTCTGACTACGCTCTGACACGCTCTGAAACAGCCAGAAATATGGAAAAAACGGGAAAAAATATTCATCATTGTAGGTTTCCGATGACTACGCTGCAAAACGGTATAAGTATAAAAAAAAACCGAAGGGATGCTGCCTATTTAAATCTATCTAAACAAATGTCCGACACTATATGTCTATCTTTTGAAAATTAACTTGCAAGAACGACGGGAAGGGACACGACCGCCGTCGAGGGTAGGTTAAATTTATAAAGAAAAACCTCCTGGTTTGCAAAAACAATTTTTAACTGATCTTATTATACCATATTATCTTCTGCCATGCCGTAATTTTCAGTACGTCTGAAACGTGTGCTTGTCGCCTCGATGTGAATGTCCTATTTGAACGTATAATATTTCTATACACATAGAAACCGTAATGAGGCTTAATTCAGAAATCGTTATCGTAAGTAGGCATTTGCGTGCTAATGAGGACACATTTTTGGTACTACTTTCGCCACATTTTGAGGACAATGTTCGGATAAAATTTCACTTTTAAAAAGCAAAAGATGTCCGTTTTGCCTACGATATGACGGTCGTTCCGAACATTGCAGTCGTGTTCTATGAAGGCAAAATAATCTCTGAAACCTTGTAGTTAATATTATAATATATTACTAAATAATAATAGATGGGTGGTATGACGTATGATGTGGTACTACCCATCTGCTTCGAAGAGCTTATTGAGTCGTTGATTTTGGCTCCTCACTAAATGAACGAAGTCAAAAGTCATTAAAGCTCGACCCACCCATATTGGAGCAGGATGGTGAATCTAAATGATAAAATCTTACTTTATTCAGATGTCTGCAAAATCGAACAATTTTGAATTAAAGAACTGTTTTAGATCGTCAAAAGTTAGACGAAACTCATCGAGATTTTTCAGGACAGGACTTGAACACACGACCGCAGCCTTCCATGTCGCTGCTCTACCAACACCGCTACCGTTCCTCGATACTCTTATTTAAATACCAAAAATATTATTCAAACAATGTTCATACATCATGTTATTAAATTAGCCCAATTAGTTAGGTCATCGGTTAGTACTAATTATCTCATTAATAATTATTGTTAACGCAAATAATTTTAGCTTTGTTAATTTAACTGTTTTTCATAGTTAGCCTTTGATTGTTAAATACCTAATCGACATATTTACCTATACAAGGTATTTACCTATAAAAGAAACGTAAATAATTACAATACAAATGAGAGAATTGTGTGTAGTAGTGGTAATAGTAGTAATGTAGTAGTACGCATTTAAATTAAACACTTCTAACTGTTTAAACTTCAAACCACGAAATGTATTAATTAAAATAAATAACTTTATGTAAATTGCACATTTTAAACCATTAAAAGTGTATTATTTAAACACATACCCTAGATGACAATCCAATTCAACCCCACAAAAATAAAAACAAAAATGAGAAAAAACCACTAATTAAACATCACAATGTCCTTTCAAAACGGGATCTCAAGCCATCAGAGTATCATCCAATTAGATACGGAACCCTTATGAATAATTTGCATTTAAAATACCTACTCCAGAACGAAGCAAGGACTTGATCCGCAAACTACACTCATATGCTTTTGTATGGAGAGTGCTTCAGTACTTCAGCCTCAATTACTTTGTATTACACAGTTACTTGTTCCGCTGTTTTATACCACTCATTTGGAACTGGTAGTGTTTTATAGAAAGAAAAGTGACTTAGGAGGAAGGACAACCGTGGTCTATAATAGATGGATGGTAGATATCCCAATTACATCATCTAATTACAGCTTTACTGCATTTAAATACGTTTACAAGCTTAAAATCGATTTTAGAGAACAATTTAAGACACGGACAGGTTTTGAACCGGCATTATTATTGTTTATGTTATACCATCGTGGCAATAAAATGTGAAAAATATTAGTTTTCAAACGTTTACAAGCGTCAAAGAAATTAATGTGAGAAAAAAAGAGAAACTCAGAATATTTTTACGGAGCGGAAAAAAAAATCTATATCCGTCTCTGTTTTATTTTGTTTGTGTAACACTTATTCTTTATTATGCCCACTTTGAAAAATAAATTACGTTTTTACCAAATTCTAATTTAGAACCTTTTTTAGCTAAACGTTATGTTACAAAGGCATGAAGTTGTAACATTTGGCGTGTTATACACGTGGCGTTTTAATTATAATATTATAATTAGTCATTATATAGTAATTGTCAAGCAATCAATTTTCAATTTATTTTAAATTAAAGTTTAATTCTATCATTATTTTCAGCGGGTGCGCGCCATAATTGTTTGAATATAAAAATGCTTAAACAAATTAACGGTTCAATTTAACTGAATTAATTTTTGTATTGGTCGTGGTTGAACTACTGTAATGCGATAAAATTGATTGTGTCATCAGATGTTTTGGATTGATCGTTGATATATTGGATGAATAAATTAAGAAGAAGAAAGAAAAAATTGCCTAGTAATTATTTCGAAGTATAGAACGAATTTCGGGTTCCCCAGAAATTTTGATGACTCAAGAATATTTCAGCAATCAGTCTTTCAATAATTTTGTGACAGTTATCTTAAATAAGGATCTTCTATGAGGGCGAAGTACTATGTTTCAGCTGTGAGTAACAAAATTGATATTTGGTAAAATAACCCAGCCATAATATCTAAACAAGCGGTCGCCTTATTTTAGCTTTGATTGTTTAGAAATCTACATACTGTAACCGAAACGCGATTAAACTTGACTTGTAGAGTCCGTTTGCGATAGAACCCACGTACCATTGATTATTAGGAATACATTGCTACCATTACATCGATAAGCCCAAGAACGTCTTCCTTATATTTTATGTTTTTATGAAATCGTTCATATAATTTTCAATATGATCTGTAAAAACAAGGCGTATTTAGGGAATATTTTACAAGATCAGAATTCCCTCTTTAATTTCAGCTCGGGCGCAGTGTTTGACTGAATTAAACGTTCAATTTATTTCGGATTCACGATTCTTTTAACAGACACAAGTCTTCCACGATCGTGGAATGTTAGACAATACACTGGTGATCGTTCTCAAGGGTCTCTTGGTACAAATCCAATTATTTCCCGTAGTGCCGTCGGTGTGTAATTGATTTATTTGCTCATTTCTTTCAGTCACAGCCTCTGAACACTCGCTGTTATTACGAACGTCGGCCAAGTTAACAATTACAATTAACAAAGTCCCAAACGAAAATGACGTTTGACTTATGACGTTTTGTAATTGTCGAGCTGGCTTTTATACGGAGATAATAATTTTTGACAAACTCGAATATTCAAAGAATATTAAAATAGGTCAATAGCCCATCTGTTTTAGATGTTATACGGCTGTTATATTTCACCTACCATCAACGGAACCCCATGCTTGTTTGTCCTTCTCTATATAAAAAATCAATGGCCCTTCATTCGTGGGTAGAATTCCCGTCGGGTCAAATAACAATTTTTATATGTTATATTGGAGAATCTTATCATTAAATGGATGGTAGCAATATCAAAATTTTTCCCCAGATATACCACCTGAAGATTACTAGTCGTGTAGCTGATGCAAAGAAAAAATACCTTTAGTTTGATGTTGTTATAATCAATACCATAAATAAAGAAAATATGTATAAGATAAATGTTTTCAC